ACCTACGTGGACATGGGCTTCGAGTCAGATCTGATGGGAAGTGCCAAGTACTTCTACGAGGGCAGCATGAAGGTGATATACTTCAAGGGTGCCGACCTGAAAAGCAAGATTGGGCAGCCCGTTCAGGGGGCAAGTTTCATCGAGCAGGCGTCCGCAATGCTGAAGAGCGTCGGCACGAGCACAGCGAAGGAGTGGTGCGAGAAGAAGGAGATCGACTGCTGCTGGACGACGGTCAACGCAGGCGAGTTCGTGGTCACGCCGCCAGGGTGGTTTGCGTGCAGCTCATGCACTCCCACGGGGCCGAGGTGCGTTGGCATCAGGAAGTTGCTGCTCGTCCAGCGGCAGGCCGCCATTGAGAACCTCGAGTCTCTCATCGAGGTGCCCAGCCTGAAGAACGACCGCGTGCAGGCCGCCCTGGACATCCTGGTTGCTGACGCCGCCTAGGCACGCAGGAGACAGGCGGCCAGCAGCCAGGCGATGAGCTCGCCGAGCTCGCTGACACAATCATTCCTCATTATTCCCATCCTCCTCGTCCATGTCTTCCTGTCTTCCCCCCCTCCACACACGGGTCCAGAGCAGAAGACCAGCACTGCAGAGGCAGGGAAGGACGAGAAAGAGAAAGAACAGGACGATGATGAGTGAAGAGGGGGAGGAGGAGGAGGAGGAGGAGGAGGAGGAGGAGGAGGAGGAGGAGGAGGAGGAGGAGGAGGAAGTGGAGGAGGAGGAGAGGAAAGAGGGGGAGGAGGGAGGAGGAGGAGGAGGAGGAGGAGGAGAGAAAGATAATGTAGAGGACTCTCATAAACTCCGAGGCGCCGAGGCGGCGTCCTGGCCCCTCGGGAATCTCCAGGCGCGGAAACCCTACGCACCCCCATTGCCTAGTATCGTTCAGCTTTCTGCTCCGCCTCCCCGCTTCCCCCCTCGCTTGCCACCTCCATCCACTTTCCCTCCTCTGTCCACTCGATCCTCCTCTTCCTCTTCCTCCTCCTCTTGCTCTTCTTCCTCCTTCCTCCCTCCTTCCTTTTCCCTCCTCCCTCCTCCCCCCCCTCCGCGTCCTCCTCCTCCTCCTCCTCCTTCCTGGCGTCACCCTTTCGCTGAGGTTCAGCCGAGATCCGCATGGGGTGCGAAATGCGTGAGAGAGCGTGCGAGAGAGAGGCTCGGGTCATGGTAACACTTGAATAGATCGGAGCCTGCCTGAGCCTGCAAGCAACGTAGAGATCCAAAGATCTCAAGATCAGGAGATCCGAACTCAAGGGACTCAAGGGCCTTAGGGCCGCGCCCGGGGCCGTTTAGAAAGACCCTGGGCCCCCTTGTCGGGGAACCATGTGTACAGGGCCTGTACAACGGAATTGCAAGATTTACCACTGGGAATGGCTCCCTGTGGCCGCCGAGCACAGACGGGCAGGTTGCCAGCTCGTTGACTTCGACATGTGCACCAGCCGATACCGCCTGGCGAAAGCCCACCAGCATCGGCACCAACGCTCCTGGAACTGACGGTCTTTCGCGCGGGTGCCCAGGCCACAGCCAACACGTCATCCTGGAGGGCGAAGTCGGGAGCGCCTGCAAGCCCGCGCGCTAGCGAACCTCGTTCGCAGGAACGCATCCGCCCAAGCCGTGCCACGCCCTTGCGAGGGCGGCCGCTCGTGCTGCTCCTGCTGCCGCAGCCTGCTGCCGCGGCCAGGGGCAGCTCTCAGACTGGTGGGAGAGCCGGCCGCCAGACTTAAGTTGGGCGTGTCCCCCTCCAGGTAATTTTCGACGAAAAATAAAAAAATACCCCAACAAATTCTGCAAAGTGGCCAACCGATGCTCAAAAAACCGTCCCCAGACTATTTCTTGACTATTCTTGAATACTCCCCCTGCAGAGGGACAGGCCCGACTTAACGCTGGACGCCGCGAGGCCGAACGGCCCCCTCCTGCCCGGCCGACGCGCGGCAGCCCCCGCGGCTCCCACGGCACGCCGCCCCCGGCTGCGAGGACCGCCCGGCCGGCGCCGGAGCGGGCGCGCGCTCCGGAAGGAGCGCCGCAGCCTCGGCGAGGTCCGCGTTTGGAGCTGCGCTCGCCCGCCGAAGGCGACAGCGGGCGACGAGCGCGGCGGGCCACCATCACCGCGCGGACGCGGGTCGCCTCCGCCTCCTCCTCCTCCTCCTCCTCCTCCTCCTCCTCCTCCTCCTCCTCCTCCTCCGCTTCCTCCTCCTCCTCCGCTTCCTCCTCCTCCTCCTCCTCCTCCTCCTCCTCCTCCTCCTCCTCCTCTCCTCCCCCTTCTCCTGCTCCTCCCCTTCTCCTTCTCCTCCTCCCCCTTCTCCTCCTCCTCCTCCTCCTCCTCCTCCTCCTCCTCCTCCTCCTCCTCCTCCTCCTCCTCCTCCTCCTCCTCCTCCTCCTCCTCCTCCCGGTGCTCCGTTGGCTGTGCCCCCCCCTCTCCCCCTAGGGCCACAACAGGGCCTTTGGCCTGGTGAGGCAGCTCGCCTCTGACCAAGACCTGACGCCTCGCTCGATGGCTAAGTGGGATGCCACCCTCGACGACTACCTGGAGACCCGGATGAGACCGAGCTTTTGGAGGGGGCCTCGGCGGCGGTCGGGCGCGTGGCCGTCTGCAGTACCGCCTGGCACCTGGACTACGTCTCTCGGAGCCCATCGGTTTTCCCGCTGACCACAAAGGCGCTCAAAGGCTTCACGGCGATCCGGTCCGACTCGATGCGCGACCCGCCTCCGCTGGAGGCCGTGTGGGCAGTCGTCGCCGCCTTCAGGAGGGCCGACACGATCGAGTGCGACCTCGCGGCCGCCTTCACGCTCATCGCCTTCGACGCCTACCTCAGGCCGTCCGAGCTCCTGGAGATGCTCGTCAGCCAGGTCATCCGCCCGTATCCCTCACTCTCTCTCTATCCCTCTCTTTCTCCCTGCCTCAAATCTGACCACTTTATCGACCCTCTCTCCCTCTCTCTACTATGCTGCTACATCTCGACGTGTTCTCCAGGCTCTTTGAGATACTCCCAAATTCTATCTGCTGAGCTCTGCACTCTACTCTCTCTCTCTCTCTCTCTCTCTCTTTCTGCTCCCTACTATCGACCCTGTCATTCTAACAACAACGGTCGCGAAGAAATATCCCTGAACTTGAGAAACCGTTCCAGGAAACCTTGACCCGAGAAACTGGAATCCCGAAAACTCAACCGCCCACCAAAATAAGCTTGGAACCATGAATCTGGAACTCAGGAGTCTGGCCGCCCATCGAAGTCGACCGACATTGTGGAATGACGGTGATGATGATGATGATGATGATGATGATGATGATGATGATGATGATGATGATGATGATAATGATGATGATGGTGGTGATGATGATGATGATGATGATGATGATGATGCTGATGCTGACGCTGACGCTGGTGCTGACGATGATGCGGATGATGCTGCTGTTGATGATGCTGATGATGACGATGTTGTTGATGTTGATGTTGATGTTGATGCTGACGTTGATGATGGTGGGCCGATGTTCGACGGTCTTTCCATCAACTGAGCCCTGCATACAGCTCTCAGAGGTACGTGTGGCACCTGCCACCAAGCGACGTAGCACCAGCCAGCTTGAAGGACAAATGGCGAGCCTCTAGCCACTGCCTTGGCGCCCGTCGCGGATAAACTTGGAGGCCTGGTGGGGGTGAGAGGGGCGAGCCTGGATCGAGAACCCCACCACGCTAACGTGGAAGAGGGGGCTTGTGTCCAAAGATCCACATCAAGGGCGCGCAGCACAACAATGAAGCGGACGCGGAGGATGCATAAGTAGCTTCAACCGCTGCAACTCGGCAACTGACCGACGGCTACCGCAATAAATTATCCGCCTTCTTGCTGACGGGACATACGAAGCTGCCCAGCGCCTGCAGCGCAGCCTGACGGAGAATGCGTATATCTGCCCACCGCCGCCAAGGGTCCCCCCCTCTCCTTTCCTGCTCTTCGCTGGGCCCTGGGCCTCACACAGCCTGGATCCGACCTGCCATCAGGCAGGCTGGTCCGCTGGGCTGCCTCACAGCTCGTCGTGCGCCTCGTCCTCGTCCTCCTCGTCGCCTCCACCTCCGCCTCCGCCTCCGGAGCCGTAGTACTTAGAGACGATGGGGGCGCAGATGTTCTCCACCTCCTTGTGCTTCTCCTTGATCTCCTCGGGTTCGGCCTCGGGGTTGGAGTCCAGCCAGGACTGCCCATCCTTGAGGGCGTCGAGGATCTTCTCCTTCTCCTCGGAGTCCATCTTTTCACTCAGGCCCTTGTTCTCGCCAGAGCCCTCAGTCGCAGACCTCATTGAGTGGATGTAGCCGTCGAACGCGTTCTTGGCATCCACGCGCTCCTTGACCTTCTTGTCCTCGTCCGCGAACTGTTCCGCCTCCTTGATCATCTTCTCGATCTGCTCCTCCGTCAGCCGACCCTTGTCGTTGGTGATGGTGATCTTCTCCTCCTTGCCAGTGCCCTTGTCCTGGGCGCCGACGGCCAGAATGCCGTTGGAGTCAATCTCGAAGGTAACTTCGATCTGCGGCTGACCACGCGGCGCAGGTGGGATCCCACCGAGCTCGAACTTGCCCAACTGGTGATTGTCCTTCGTCATGGGCCGCTCGCCCTCGAAGACCTGGATGTTCACTGCTGGCTGGTTGTCCTGGAGCCTCCTCCTCCCCCTCCTCTCCCTCCTCCCCCTCCCCCTCCCCCTCGTCCTCGTCCTCCTCCTCCTCCTCCTCCTCCTCCTCCTCCTCCTCCTCCTCCTCCCCCCTCCCTCTTCTCCCACCTGTCCTGGTAGGTGGAGAAGATCTGACTTCTTGGTCGGGATGACAGTGTTCCGGCCAATCAGCTTGGTCATCACGCCTCCGACGGTCTCGATTCCCAGCGTGAGGGGAGTGACGTCGAGCAAGAGAAGATCCTGGCCACCCTCGCCGCTCAAGATGCCAGCCTGCACAGCGGCTCTGTAGGCCACCGCCTCGTCCGGGTTGGTTCGGCTCCTTGCCGTTGAAGAACTCCTTGATCAGCTGCTGCACCTTCGGGATGCGCGTGGAACCCCCGACGAGCACAATCTCGTCAATCTGGTTCTTCTTGAGGCCAGAGTCATCCAAGACCTGCTTGACGGGGCCAATGGTATTCTTGAACAAGTCGGCGTTGATCTCCTCGAAGCGAGCGCGCGAAAGCGTCTCGGAGAAGTCCACGCCTTCGAAGAGCCCCTCGATCTCGATGCGGGCTTGCTGCGTGGAGCTCAGGGCACGCTTTGTCTTCTCGACCTCGCGGCGGAGCTTTTGGATAGACTTTTGGCTCTTGGACATGTCCTTGCCATGTTTCTTCTGGAAGACCTTGACAAAGTGCGCCATCACTCGCTGATCGAAGTCCTCACCGCCCAGGTGCGTGTCGCCGCTGGTGGCGACCACCTCGAACACACCGTTGTCAATGGTGAGCAAGCTGACGTCGAAAGTACCGCCGCCCAAATCGTATACGAGGATGTTATTCTCGGTCTTCTTGTCCAGACCATACGCGATCGCCGCTGCCGTAGGCTCATTGATGATGCGGAGGATGTTCATACCAGAGATGGTGCCCGCATCCTTCGTGGACTGCCTCTGCGCATCGTTGGAGTACGCTGGCACGGTGACCACTGCGTGGTTGACCTCCTTGCCCAGGTAATTCTCAGCAGTCTCCTTCATCTTCGTCAAGATCATGGCGGAGACCTCCTCCGGCTGCAGGTCCTTGGCCTCTCCCTTCACCTTCACATTGATGAAAGGCTTCCCACCCTTGTCGACGATCTTGAACGGCAACAACTTCATGTCCTTCTGTACCGTGAAATCCTTGAAGCGACGCCCGATCAAGCGCTTCACGTCGAAAAGCGTCTGCGATGGGTTGATGGTCGCCTGGTTCTTAGCGGCCTCACCGATCAGGCGCTCCTCTTCCGTGAAAGCGACGTAAGAGGGGGTGATGCGATTCCCCTGGTCATTCGGGATGATCTCGACGCGACCGTTTTTGTAGATGCCCACACAAGAGTAGGTCGTGCCCAAGTCGATCCCGATGACGGGGCCGTCGATCTTCTGGGTGCGGGGGCCGAAATGGCCTTTGAGCCTGACCGGCTGTTTGCGATGATGATGATGCCTCTGACGCTGACACCGAGACTTGAAAACGGCGAGTGGTGTAACTGCCAAGGACATGCAAGATGAGGAAGATGATAGGGGCATAATGGATATTAACGTACGGCGATCACACGGATCAGGGAGATGGTGAAGAAAAGGCTGAGATGGTGGCATTTGAGGATCACCGGGGTAGCGATGCTGATGACTTATTCAGCATCTGAGCCCTGAGTGCAGCTCTCAGAGGTATGTGTGGCACTTGCCACCAAGCGACGTAGCCCCAGCTAGCTTGAAGCCCGACTAGCGAGCTCCTAGCTACTGCCCGGTCGACCGCCGTGGACATCCGCCACCGTGTCGTAGGCACTGAGTAGAGTGTTCTTGGGTCCATCCGAATTCTCGGCGTTGACCCTTACTTTATTTTCTGGGGGGCGCCGTGTGGCTGCCGAGGCGCTGCGCGTTACTTCTAAAGGCCAGAGAGCCCTAAGACGGGCCCGAGAGAGGCCCCGATACGGCCCGAGAACGCTCCGATATGGCCTCCAGAAAGCCGAAAACGCCCCCGAGGCGGCCAAAGAGAGATCCACGATGACCAAAAGAGGCTCCCAATATCCAAAATCGCTGATGCCCTTCGAACTGTTGAATGATTCTAGCAATCTCGCTATGTCGGGATTCAGATCGCCCAAGACGGTCCAGAGGCCCACAAGACCGCCTGACGACGGTCACAGAGGGCCCCAAGACAGTCCGAGAGGCCTCAACACGGGCTCGTAGGGGGGGAAATCGAAGATGACGTGGGTGCATGTATTCCCAATGTTGCCACCAAGACACCCAGCTTGCCACCAAGAGCCCCCCAGAAGCGATCAACAGGGCCGAACAGGCCCTCCAGAGGCCCCGAAGAGACTATGAAAAGGCCCCAAGTGGCCTCCAAAAAAGGACCCAAAGAAACCGCAGCAGGTATCCAAGAGGCATCTGGTCCATGACCCAAGCATGGTGGCGGGATGGGCCGAAGGCCACTAGATCCGCCGCCCCCTGTGGTCTTGCCACAGGGGTGCACGGCGTGCTGGACGATTCAGGTTTTGGTGTTGGTTCTTTTTATAAAAGAACTCCCCAGTGGGCTTCGGCCCGTCCCGCCGGCCACCCGTAAGTTTCCGAAAATCCATCTGTCAATGCCTTTGTTGCCCCAACTTGGCCCAAGATGGCCTCCAAGACGGCCAAGATGGCCCAAGATGGCCTCCAAGATGCTGGCCTCCAAGACGGGTAAGATGGCTCCAAGATGCCTCCAAGACGGCCCAAGATGCCCTCCAAGACGGCCAAGATGGCCCCAAGATGCCTCCAAGATGGCCCAAGAGGCCTCCAAGACGTTCTCCAGGAGAGCCCGAAGAGGCCAAAATCATTGGTTTTCCTTAGGTTTTTGAAGGTTTTTTGCGTTTTCTTCTTTTCGGCCTTCCGACGGCCCAAGAGGCCCCCAAGATCGCCCAAGAGGCCTCCAAGAAGGCCCTATGACGGCCCAAGGGCCCCCCAAGACGGCCCCAAGAGCGCCCCAAGACGGCCCAAGAGGCCTCCAAGACGCCCAACATGGCCTCCAAGACGGCCCTGAAGCGCCCCAAGAGGGCCCCAAGACGGCCCAGAGAGGCCCCCAAGACGGCTCCAGACGGCGTCAGACGGACCAGGAACGCCCTAAGACGGCCAAAGAGACCCCCAGGAAGCCCCCAAAGGCCCCCAAGAGGCCCAAGGAGGCCCCCAAGATGCCTCCAAGAGGCCTCGAAGAGGCCCCCAAGAAGCCCCCAACAGACCCCAAGGGTGCCCCAAGAGACTCCTAACAACCCTCATCCTCCTACTCTATTTCTTCCTCTTCCTCTTCCTGTTCATAATCATTCTCTCCCATGTGTTCCCCGAAAGCTTTCCAAACCGACTCGGGGAACTCATGGTCCGATAGCTTGGCCAAGCTCTAGTCCAACTTTCGGCCACATCGGCGTTTCCAAAAAGGCAGGGGGCGGCGGTGATTCGCCGTAGGCGTCTTCGATCCGCCGCCCCTGTAGTCTTGCCAAGTGCACGGCGCGCAGAATGGTGAGGGGGGACTTTGCACATCGAACCCACAAACCAAGAAAAACGACGAATCAACTTTCCCACAATAATGCTTCCGTCCCTCACACATCGACAAACAAGTCTTCAAGCACGCACACATACTCACCCCCGCTTAGAAACGATCGTAGCACCCCGCAGATGCGGATAACAACGAGGGGGCGGTGGGGAAGTCGGCAGTTTGCGAGACTCCGGAGAAGCCCGCCGCAGGCGCCAAAGTTTCACAAATTATACAGTGAGCCCGCGGCGGGCACCGTTTTTTTGTTAAACCAATGTGGGTAGGTCGCGGGTGGGTCGCAGATGGGTCGCGGGTGGGTCGCGGGTGGGTCGCGGGTGGGCCGCGGTTGGGTCGCGGGTGGGTCGCGGGGTGGGTCGCGGGTGGGTCGCGGGAGGGTGGGTCGCAGGGTGGGTCGCGGGTGGGTCGCGGGTAAGTCGCGGGGTGGGACGCGGGGTGGGTCGCGGGGTGGGTCGCGGGGTGGGTTGCGGGTGGTTCGCGGTTGGGACGACGACAACAAACAGACAGACAAACAAACAAACAAACAACTACAATGCAACAAGCAAAATCCTCACCACGGATCCCCACTTCAGCCACGCAGACAGGGACAATGAATGACCGTTCGGCCCCCTCACTCTGACGAATACTGCTTGAATCGAATTCAACCACCAGGCTGGAACGACAAACAGAAAAAACAACTTCATTTCAGACCACTCACTTGGCTTGGAAGTACGAAGAACCTTGCAACAAAAGAACACGCCGCACCGATATATGCCATATTCTAATCGAAAACCGAATTCAAACGAGATACCAAAACCTTTTCCATCACGGGCGAATCAAAACTATTGCACTTCAGTGCTCCCGAAACTGGCGAGGTCAGACACATCATTCTCGGGATCCCCCCGGGGCCAGATGAGATCCTACAACATTCAAAAGGCGACGACGTCGTGCCAGATCGCAGCAAACCATCTTATGTACTACAAAAACGGCGAAGAAATGACATCCCGTCAGCGGGATGCGTGCCCGCGCAGACCTCGCTGCGCATCGCCTGCGACCCCTGCATCCAGATCCCCCTGGGCCGCGCAAGGCCCGGAGAGACTCGAGGGCTCCCCGAGGTTGAGGCACATGAGACTGCGACCGCGCAGAGCACAGAACCGAGGGACCGAGGCCACCGAAGGCGGAATCCGGAACGCCGAGGCTTCGAAAGGCCACGGGCCCCGAGACCACAGAGGACAACGCAGAACGCCAAACCGACAAAAACGCATGAAAACACTGAGAGACAAGACGGAGAAGCCGAGACCACGGGAGACGCGGCCGAGATGCCAGCAAAAGCACATCGAGAACCGAGATCGCGGAACGGAACCGAAGACCGATGCGACGGGAAGCACAGGACCCCCCCCAAAAGAAAAAGCGCGCCACGTGCAAGATCTCTAAGAAACGAGCTGCGGAAACCACAGAACTGAGGACGCCGAAACACCCGCGAAGGCGTCAAAATGCAAGCCCACAGCTTTAAATAAAATGTGTGATCCGAACCGTCGGCGGCGGTGTTCCGGCGGCGACGGCGGTTCCAACGGCGGCGGTTCTCTGGCGCGCAATTGAGCGAACGACGACAGATGACGGAAGGAACGCGCCCAGACTGGACGACTTCGAGGAACGACGAGCGGCGCGCCCCCAAGTCAACTAGTGGCCGCGACGAACGACGGGCTGGACCTGGATGGCTTACCCACAACAGCCGCCCGGAGGACGAACGACGGGCGCACCTCGCGTGAGATACTTTCTTGCAACCGATTAAACCCCACTCATGTTGCTTCGCGGCGCTGATATCCCGGGAATTGTCTTTTGGTGTGATTGAAGATTCCCAGACGTTGCCTTCAAACGGGGCACTTCCCGCAATGAAGATCTATTGGAGGGAGGTTTGTTACACCATCGTTGATGCGTCTTGGGTGTCGACTGGTCCTCCTCCTCCTCCTGTTCATCCTCCGCCTCCTCCGCCTCCGCCTCTTACTCCTCTTACTCCTCTTACTCCTCCTCCTCCTCCTCCTCCTCCTCCCCCTCCTCCTCATTCCTCCCTCAAGTGTTCCCCTCAGGGTTTCCAGAACGGCTCGGGGAATATATAATCCAATAGCTTGACCAAAGCTGTGGCCCAGCACTTGGCCACATCGGCCTTTCCAGAAAGGCATGGGAGCGGCGGTGACTCGCCGTCGGCGGCTCGATAATTTGGAGCCTGGCGGGGGTGAGAGAGGCGAGCCTGGATCGAGAACCCCACCACCCTAACATGGAAAAGGGGACTCGTGTCCAAGGATCCACGTAGAGGGCGCGCAGCACAACAGATGAGCAGGGGCGGAGAATGCTCACGTAACTTCAGCCGATGCACCTCGGCAACCGACCGACGGCCACGGCAAAACCTTCTCCGCCTCACTGCAGACGGAAAATACGAAACTCTCTGGCGCCTCCCGCGCGGCCTGACAGAAAATGTGAACATATACCGAACGTCGCCAAGGATCTCGCCCCCTCCTTTCCGCTCCTCCCTCGACCCCCCGCCTCACACAGCCAAAGCCAAGGATCCGACCTGCCATGAGGCAGGCTGGTCGACTGGGCTGCCTCACAGCTCGTCGTGCGCCTCGTCCTCGTCCTCCTCGTCGCCTCCACCTCCGCCTCCGCCCCCAGAGCCGTAGTACTTAGAGACGATGGGGGCGCAGATGTTCTCCACCTCCTTGTGCTTCTCCTTGATCTCTTCGGGTTCGGCCTCGGGGTTGGAGTCCAGCCAGGACTGCCCATCCTTGAGGGCGTCGAGGATCTTCTCCTTCTCCTCGGAGTCCATCTTCTCACTCAGGCCCTTGTTCTCGCCAGAGCCCTCAGTCGCAGACCTCATCGAGTGGATGTAGCCGTCGAACGCGTTCTTGGCATCCACGCGCTCCTTGACCTTCTTGTCCTCGTCCGCGAACTGTTCCGCCTCCTTGATCATCTTCTCGATCTGCTCCTCCGTCAGCCGACCCTTGTCGTTGGTAATGGTGATCTTCTCCT